GGACAGCGCAGCCCGCACACGTGGCAGCGGCTCGGGTCCCCGCCGCGCTCCGCGCCCGCCAGGTGGCCGTGCTCGTGGAACAGCAGCTCCGATACCAGCCGGAAGGCGGCCGGGCACAAGGCACAGGGGAAGGAGCCGGGCGCGGGGGGCCCAGGCTCGGGCGCCGCATCCGTGACTCTCACCACCTGGATCTCGATGAGGCTGCTGGGCTGCGGGGCGGGGCTGTCATCCTCGGGCCCGGAGACCTGGCGTTGGAAGGGAGGGCGGCCTGTGACTTCGTCCGGGACCCCCCGCCGGCCGCCACCGGTTAAAACTGCACCCCAGTCCCAGCTACACCGGGAGGCTCAGATCTGAGGATAGCAGTTCGAGGCCAGCCCGGGCAGAAAGCTTCCTGAGACTCATCTTTAAATGATTGGCAAAAGGCCGGGGTGGAGCTGTGGGCTCAAGTGGTAGAGCGCGGGTCTGAGGGGCGGGGAGGGGGCTTCAGCTGCGCTCAAACCTCACAGCGCCACTAAGGTCCACCGGAATCTGGCTCCCACTCCGCGCCCTGACCCCGGGGTAAACTGAGCAGCGCCCGGCCAGCTGGTCGGTCCCTGTTTAGCTAGCCACCACCACCGCACTCAGCCAGCTCTCTTCTCTCTTCCCTCACAGGACGCACACAGCAAACCCCGGGTGTCGCCGCTCTTTGCGGGGAAACCCTGATCTGCCTGCCTCGGCTCAATGAGTGTTGGGTGAATAAATGCTCTCAGAGTGGGGGGAACGTCTGGAGGGGAATCTAGAGTCATCTGGCCCATCCAGACCTCCTCCCAAATTCGCCCTTGGGCACGGGGCATATCCCTTGCAGGCCCCACTCAAACCTGTGAACAGGCTCAAACATACTCCCCCCCCCCGACTTTTTCAGGATCACCTTCCCAACCTCCAAGTTCAGGAGCCCTAGAATTCCCCAGACTCCGCCCCCTTCCGAAGGCTCCACCTCTTTCTATGCAAATGAGGGCGAATCCCGCCCCTTAGCTGACTCGTCCCAGGCACGCCTCGATCAGGCCCCGCCCCTCTCTCCCTATAGGCTCCTCTCCAGGCCCCGCCCATCACAATCGCTAAGAGTCCCGCCCCCTACAGAACCTAGTTCCTCCTCGCCTTGCTGTCGTAGGCCCCGCCTCCTGCCCTGAGCTCCCCTCCCGGCCTGAGCCTGCTCGCCGGGGCCTCTTTCCCGCCCGCACCAGGTCCGGAGGCTCCGGGGACGCTGACTCCGGGGTCGGTGAGCTCGGAATCCGGGGCTCCGGGCGCACGGTGGCCATCTTGTGCCCAAGCCCCGCCCCCGAGACCAATGAGCATTCTGGAAAGAGGCCGTGACCGGGCTGCCGTCAGAGGTATGGCGCAGGCGCGCCTCGGGACAGTGAGGGGGCGTGGCCGAGAGGGGGCGGGATGCGCAGAGAGGCGGAGCCCCGCGGCGGCCAGGTTTACCCGCCGGGCCCGGGTCCGGGCGGAGCCGGAGCGGGCCGGGCAGCAACTTCCAGCAGCGGGGCCCCTGCCCCGGCCAGGCCACGCAGTCCCCGGGGCCCGCGCGCGGGGCCTTCTCAGGAATGCACCTCCGTGCACTTGTGCGCGATACATAGTTTGCCATGTAAGGTTTTGTTTTAAGTCAGTGTCGAGAAAGATCCTTAAAAACGGGGTTTGGTGGAACATGGCTGATAGAGGGGCCGGGAGTGGGAGGATCGCCGGTCCGGAACAGCGCTGGCAGAGAACGTTCTGGAGCCCCCTTCTCCACCGGTCTCCTGGGGCCTTGGTGCTTGCCTAACCTGCAAGCCTCTTGGGAGGCCGAGAAGGGGGAGATGGCGGCTGGAGGTCAGCTGCGACACACGAGCGCCCCGAGCTCCGTCCGAGTGTGCCTCCATGGCCTGTTCATCACCTGGCAATAAGCATAAATCTCAGATAGGCAGAGCCAGGTCCGGGGCGACGCAACTAGGCCAAAAAGCGCTGAAGGTGTGGCTGGGCGGGGGGGGGG